CCACGCTGCTGCTCCTGACGCTGACCACCCTCTTGACCACTGTCCAGTCCGCAGGAAACAGGCGCAAGCACGAGCAGTTGAAGGATATGATCAAAACTTGGGAGAAAAGGCTATCAGCGATGGAAAGACGTGAGTAATTTTTTTAAAATACTTCTGTTTTTTGTTGTTTTGTTTGTGGGATGTTGTTGTTGTTTTGGTTTGTTTTGGTTTTTTGGATGGGTTGGTTTTGTTTTTTAAAAGTTTGAATAAAGAGACATGACAGAGGTAGGTTGAGAACGATTCGGTCAAGGAACTTGAGCTAATGGGTTCTGGTGGTTGGAGAGTGCCTCTGGTTAGACCTACTTCTTTGTTTCTGTCTGTCATATATTTTACCGGAACGAAATTATGACCATTGGTGTGTCCATGTGCTTCTGTTGGGCATTGCGTGACAGGAAAAGATTTTTTGGTTCAGGGTTGTTTCTTTTTTAAGCGCTCGGGCGGAGAAATGGGTTGTAATTCTCTGAACCATGATCACCAATGTCTGTTTCAGATGCAACACTTGAAGAAGAAGAAGAAGAAGAAGAAGAAGAAGAAGAAGAAGAAGAAGAAGAAGAAGGAGAAGGAGGATGAGGAGGAGGAGGAGAAAAAGAAGAAGAAGAGGAGAAGAAAAGGAAGAAAAAGGCAAGAAAAAGTACACTGATGATGTACGGACTATTGTTAAATGGATGAAGTTTGGTTGGCGTTTTTTTTTCTCTCCTGTAAAGTTAAGCTTTCTGGGTTTCGAACAGCTTTCCGACATATTGCTGTCTACTCAGGTTGAGTTGATGTCGTCGGGGGAGTGAAAGAAAGATCGAAGTTCAATATCACAGTTGGGATCTGTAATGGAGAAGAGGTGCTAGGACCCGAGAAAAAGATAAACTTAACCGAAGATCAACTCTACCGAGTTCAACACAAGAGGAGTCAACTGTACAACCCGCAAACTTGAACCTAGACCCCCTTCAGTTCCCGTTGCTCCGGACCCGTCACCTACATTCTGCCTCGTGGATCGCTATTAATTCTCCATTTCGCGTGTGACCAATGTTGGCTTTTCATAGAGCTCTTGTAAACATAATAATATCATAGGCCAGGGTTCGGCAACCTTTGTGACCAGCTAGGCCACGTCGGAGCTTAAAGAAGGCCTACAGGGCCAAAAATAAACGAAAACAAAAGCAAAAAAAAAAAAGTAGAATTTAAAGAAGGAATTTTGAATCAGTCAGAGGTATCAGTTCACATAAAGATTAAAACAACTTTACATCATACGTTGTCTGTCCTCTGCATGACGTAATCCCCCTAGAAGTGACATCCAGCCTGTTCTATCTGTTCTTCTCTGTGTCCAGGTTGTTCTCAGCCGCCTTCTGATGCCTTCTGACGCCTTCTGAAGCCATCTTACCACCTTCTTTCTGGTCTTCCTCTTGGTCGTTTTCCTGCTCTGGACTACATCCAATGTGCCTGTTTATCCGTCTGTTATTCTTTATTCTACTGATGTGACGAGCCTAATTCCATTTTTTGCCGGAGTATAAGTTTGGGGATATCTGCCACTCCTATTTTCTTGTGTATTTGTGTGTGCTTTCTCTGACTTTTCATGTTTTATACCCAGCATCTTATTTTCCATTGCTCTTTCGGCTCTGCTTTCTTTTTAATAAAATGTCTGATGGTTCTGGAAATTGGCACCAAGTGTGACGCCCATAGTCTATTACTGGGACAAGGCTCTGGTTGAAAACGTGTCTTTTTAATAACTTAGACAGAATTTGATCTGTAAATACACATTATAATAATATTTCCTTGTGTCTGCCAAAGCAGCTCCAAGCCGCATGTATCTTTTTGCTCTCCTCAGTTTTTGTTTTCTCCTCCACTCTCACTGTTTGGCACAAGTATTCATGTTCTGCTTATTTTTCAATGTCTTTTTTTTTTAATGTAGGAACAGTTAAGTTTCTAGCGGTGAATTATGCACATACATGTAATTGAACCTTAGAGGGACAACATACTATTTTCTCATTTAAACTCATTGTAACATAATTCACCCCCATCATTCTAGACATCTAGTCCGGAATACCACAGCACACCCACATGCACGTGTACTGCAGTCAAGATCATCTCCGCAACAATCTCTAGATATCTTAATAAATCTCTAGATATCTAATACACTGATTAAATTACTGTAAACGTGTGCTGTAGGCCCACTGGCGTTCTGAAATTTTTATTTTTGATACACTATGTTGAAGACAACACACTCAGGAACAAAACCAATCAGATAGTGGGCTTATATGAGCCGAAAAAATGGTGCGCAAAACTTCGCTATCTTAGAATTACAAAGCTCAGCATGACATTTTTGGCCGTTTTAAGTTATTAAGACCATGAGGTCCGAATCCAAATGTTTTATATGCTCTATCAACATCGTAAGATCATTCGGAGTCCTTATCAAGATATTCAAAGAGTTGCATTTGAAAAATCGTGGCCTGTTGTGAAACTCAATTTTGTTAACGTCAATTTTCTCAACACTATGTACAATGCAGGTAGAACTTTGAGATTCTAGGATAGCGACTTGTTTACGTGCCAGATTTCCGCCGTATCATGTTGAGTTGAACAGGCACAAAGGTTGTTTTTTAGGTCTAGGTCTCATGTAGCCTATTTGTCTTATCAAGCAATAGCAGTTCATAATAGAGTGACAAACATACAAAAGAAATAGAGCAAAAATGACGATAGCAAGAATGAGGAGAGAAAAAGCAGCAGTTCCCCCTATGTTGTTTCGGCACAGTATGAGCATGACATTGATAAATCAGCCCATTCACAATTCTACTATGCATAAAAGAACATGTTAATATCCCCCTTTTGGGAGTGGTCTAAAGACACTTCATTCAGTAGCACTGCCCTTGGTGGGAGGGATAATTAATCATTAGCGATGCAGAATCAAAGATGTCCACAAGTCAGCACAGCTGTTTCCGTTGATCTCTGCTCAAAAACTAGTCCAGGAGGATGTTTTTGCCATGAATGAGACTGTAACCGACAATCACGGAAACGGTCATTAATTTGGCAGGGCCTTATAATATCAGTGGCGGGGGTGGATCAAAATTTGGGTGTGGCTTTGGTTGCTGGAACTTCTTTGCCATCACATAGCAAACAATAAGCCCTAAACAATACTCACTTTTCTCTACTCTCCGTCATCCACAGTATTCTGAGATCCATTCAAACGAGATGAGTCACCTTGTGTTCCGTCTCTTTGTTTTAAGTAAGATTCTTCTGGATGAAAAAGTTGCCTCAAAAGTGGATCGGCGTCGTCTGTTAAGGGGGGAGGGGTACACCCGAAGGCGATCTCGTTTATTAGTTTACCAAATTTTACCAAATTTCGCACATATAAAAAGCATAGTAAAAAATCTTAAAATCCGCAATCAAATTTGAGGAAAAGGTTTCGTTTCCACGGATACGGCAGCCATATTGGATTTTTTTTGGCATGTCTTACGTAATGAATACCGCACTTATTTTACATGAAAATTGATTTTTTTGTGTGTGGTTTTTTTTGCATGCATGTTAGCAAACATTAGATCTAAAAATGAGTCTATTTTTTTTCCTAAATGAATTACAAGATTTTTAATAAATTGTTTCATGAGATAGTGTTCAAGTTTGCAAAAAATCCGTAAAGATCGGCACTCCGGACAACACCAACAAAAAAATTATTCCATATATTAAAATATTCAACAAAATTATTGTTGTATTACATATTCTCTTTATTCTGTGAAAATTTCATGAAGATTGGATGAAAAATGGTGGAGTTGTTCAAAAACGTATAGAAAATAATCGCGTTTAGAGAAAACGGCCAACAAAGGAAACAATAATATTGACTTAATGAGGAAATGGTGATGACAGACATGGCCGCTGTGGGAACAAATAGGGCCTTTGGCGTTCTAATGCGATGAAATAGGTGTAGGAGATGCTGAGAAAGCTAAAAAAAATGCCCACAACTCAAATTCCATAATTTTTTTTAGCCGAAACGGGACTTTGGGGGTGTAGCCCCCCCTCTTAAATCTTAAATCCTTAAATCTCAGCGGCACAACACAAACATACACACACAGCAGTTCAAACATATTCCGTCTATGGGCTGGATTGGCGTGTGTAGAAAGTAGAACGCACCTAACACAGGTCCAATGAGCGCGTAGGTAATTGTGTCACTGGGGGAAAGTGTGTCGTAAACTTTCACCCTATGGTCAGGGCTAGAAGAGCGTGAACCCTCAGCACAATGTTATTTCTTCAAGTCCTCTACCTTTCTGTCAAGAAGAGTTTCACTAAGGAAGGGTCGTGGGAATGGGTTCACCCTGTGCTCAGCCCTAAAGACATTTGATTGGCTGTTAGTTTACTATAGATGTAAGCGGTGACAGCAGTGATTGGATAAACGAGCAAGCCGCCAAGCTGATCACTCTGTGTTCATTGTGTGTTTCCATAACGATTTCAATAGCTTATTTCAATATTTAAGGAACTGTCATTGACCTTGGGATAGAGTTGTGGCGGGGGGCTCAAGCCCGTGAGCCTTTCACTACCCACCGCCATTTCAATTGCATAGTAAATAAGAAAAATAAGAAGAGGGGCATTAGGTCGGACTTTATATTAAATAACTAGAGGAGCATTCCGCCTGAGGTTGTAATAAAAATAGTGGGGCAGTAGGCCTGAGATTATGATAAATGAGTGGGAGGATCAATCGGCCTGAGATTAAAATAAATAAGTAGACGCGGATTGGACCAGACATTATATCAAATAAGTAGAGAGGTATTAGGCCGGACATTATAATATAAGTAGAGGGGCAATAGCCCGTAATATTAAATACGTAATGGGGCATATTCCGGACGATATAAGAAATAAGTTCAGGGGCAATAGGCCGAACATTATATTAAATGCGCAAAGGGGCAAATTCCGGACGTTAAAACAAATAAGCAGAGGAGCAATAGGCTGGACGTTATAATAAATAAGTAGACGGGCATGAGGCTGGGCATTATATTAAGCTTGCGGGTACTCGTTCGAAGAAAAAAACCTAAAGAATCGATCGTCAAGTCATTGTTGAATCATTCAGCACTGCTTGTGAACGAATGTTTCACTTGTTTACAATGGTGTCTTAGAAGACGGAA